TATATACTGCATGACCTTGTGTTTACAATTCCATTTCAATATTCAATCTTCTGGTTTTGTTAGCAAAAGATAAAGAAATGGCGGCGCTCAAGACTTTTGCACAGTACTATACATGCATGTGATTCAGTGTAACTGGTGCAGTACATCGGATGAGCTGGGAAGGACCAACTGTCAGTTTAATTCTGTACATTTGATATATAATGATCACAAAACAAACTTTCTCCATAGGTTTTGGAAACACTTACCTGGAATAATCTGGAGACGGAGGAAACAACCGGAGAGCTGTTTCCTTTTTGTGTTTTTGTGATAAAATGTGTGAACAAGTGAACCTCTTACAGTCAAATGAGATGTTTTTGTTCACGTGAAACACCCAACAGCTCCTACGTCTTTGTGTTTTACGCATCTTATTTGTGTTTCAGTGCTTTGTCCTGGTCATGACTTCAGGCCAGATGTGGAACCACATCAGAGGACCCCCTTATGCTCACAAAAACCCCAGCACAGGACAAGTTGTACGACACACACACACGTACACTTCACTCTAATATAACATGTTGGCTCCAACAGAGTTACTACAACTATTTAACACTTAACTGTAAGCTGACTGAAGCGGTCAGGAGATGACATCATCATGACCATGAATGTCATGCAGGTTACCGTGCTGAATGATTGGACGACACGTCTTTAATGACTCGAGATGAATTTATTTTGGATTTTCTTTATTCCACACATGGCCTCACACATACTAGTCAGTAGAAACAAATTAAATCAAGTATAAAGTTGTAGTGAATAATGATCACTAATGAGAAATGAATCAGTCTTAAAAGATTAAAAGTTGTGAGCCTGTGTGGAGAAAATCCAAAATAAATTCATATTTGTTAGCGAGCACGCAGTGATGGTTATCAAAGATGTGCGCTGGTCACCATGACGCTCATGGCCACATTTACTGCTGTAATCTTCTGACCAGTCTAAGAAAACACATCGATTTGTAAAGTGAGAGCTGTGACTGTGTGTTTTCAGAGTTACATCCACGGCAGCAGTCAGGCACAGTTCGTGGCAGAGACGCACATCGTCCTCCTCTTCAGTATCCTTCAGCTTTCTGCAGATTAACACTTGTGTGGCCGGGTCGCGCAGGCAGCAGCCTAGACCTCCCTCTCACAGCCACCTCCTGCAGCTTCTCCAGGGACACGCTGAGGTGTTCCCAGGCCAGCGATAATCTCTCGGGCATGTCCTGGGTCTGCCCCGGGGCCTCCCTGTGGTGGGACACAGGAGATTTCAGCCATGTCTCTTAGTTGTCTAACTTCTGCATGTTTGACAGAATCACAGGCGGTGATCAGCACACCTGTCTCCACTGTTGAAATAACTTCAGTCCACAGTGTAGCTGTGACACAGAGCACCTTTGTAGCTTTTTCATTTTTCTCAGTTTTATGTGCGACGTTGTTCTGAATCAAACTGCAAACACCACCTGTGTTATTCAAATCCAATACAGAAACTTTTTGCCTCAAAACTTTACACACAGGAAAAAGTGAAAGTTTGCTAGCAGCTCTTTCTTCTCAAGCACCATTCGATTTTATTAAAAGTGTTGGTTTACAGCCATTTCCTAATCTGTCCGGAGGGATTCAGCCACGTTCAGATCTGGGCTCCTGCTCTGCTGCTCAAGAGTATTTTCCAGAGTGGTCCTGAACCCACTGCTTCTATTGGAAGCTCAGCCTACCCCCAGTCTGAGGTCCAGAGCGCTCTGGAGTTGGCTATCATCATCGTGTCTGTAGATGCATCTTTCCTCGACCCTGACTAGTCTCCCAGTTTCTGTTGCCAAAGTTTATCCCCCCACTGTGATGCTGCCACCACCAGGCTTCACCAGGCGGAGAGTCCTTCTGGTGGCTTTGGTCCAACTCCTGACAGGTTGTCCTGTGCCTTTCACCCAGAAGTGTCGCTACTAAGGCCCTTCTGTCCCGATCAGTCAGCTTGGCCGGGCAGCCAGCTGTAGGAAGAGTCCTTGTGCTTCCAGATTCTTCCATTTACTGATGATGGAGAAAACCTCATTAAGACCTTCAGTGCTGTAGAGATGTTTCTGTACACTCACCCAGAGCTACGCCTCACTACTGTCTACAGACCACTGCTCTGACTTGGTGCATGTCAGAGTGTGCCTTTACCACAGCTGGGCCTCAGTCACATAGTAAAGCAGCAGAAACAGCTGCTTAACTTTGACTTTCATGGCAAATAAATATTTATGTACATGTGATAGTTTTGGGTTTTTAATTTTGCATAAATTTGCAAGAATTCCCAGCAGACTTTCTTCACTTGGTCATTTTGGGCCACTGTGTGCAGCAGTGCTGTGTGAGGTTGTGCCAGCTGCAGGAAGCCAAAATGCAGCACAATGATTCCATTAAATGTTAGTGTTGATTCATATCTGAGTATATTTTTTTATTACATTTTTCCCCTGGAGGTACCAGTCTGGTACTTTGGCACAGAGAACAGCTGGGCCCTGTCCCAGTGGCTCAGGCCTTTGTACCCGCTCAGTTTCCTGGCAGAGTCTTGGTTCTCGTACCCTTGTCTGTTTATTTCTGGGGTGGATGGTGGTAATAAGGTAAAAGCTTAGCTGTGAGTAGATGGATGCTATAAACTCGTTCAACCCTTGACCCAGCTGTCAGATGCTGCTGTTACCATGGGAATAGTTCTACTGTGTGAAGCTGCTACTTCAGACTTGGATATTGGAAAGAGAAAGAGTACGTGTACACACACACACACACACACACACACACACACAGATTGTGTCTTCAGGTTGTCTAAGATCATTTTCCAACAGAGAGCAACAAGAATATCTCAGTTGTACGTGCATTCCTGTGTATGATCCAAGTTCTTCTGACCTCAGAGCATCTGTGTACGAATATAGAAAACACAAACACTCCAGTTTCCAGATAATAACTTTGTCTAACCGAACCTTCTCTAAACCACTCAGTAAATCATCCCAGAGTTTGTTTACTTGTCTGCATCATGCATAAGGAGGTCTAATAGCAGAAGCCTGCGTGTCAGTTATGTGTGTTGCAGGTATCGGTCTAGTTATGCTGTTCTTCAGTTGGTTGCTGTCGATCTTCAGAGCCAAGTACCATGGATATCCATACAGGTGTGAACATGTTCATGTTGGATTCTCCTGTTGAATCCACTGCGACTGGATCAGATGGTGCTTTGTGTCGTATGGACTGAAAGTTGTCTCGTCTCTGTTGCAGCTTCCTGATGAGTTAGTGCTGATCAGCTCCTCCAGAGTCAGAGCAAGTGTAAGTCAGAGGACAGACGTGCTGCAGGGAGCTGTCCACAGCATCTTTGATGAAAAACTGTTTGCCAAGCCATGATTTGTCCTCTGATCTGTTTAATAAAGTCAGTACATCATATACATACGGTGCCTTTTACAATATCACAAGTGGTTCCTTTACAACAACAGAGCTCTGATCGCTGCTGTGCAACATGAACAGTCAGGTACCAAAAGGTGTCTTCTTGGTCTGAACTTTGGCCAAATTTGATTTGTGATTCATTTCTAACCTGCAGACTGTTTCTGTCTTAAAGTGCAGACATGAGTCAGGACTGTTTAGCTCTTGTTGCTAAGACCTCAGCAGACATTATAGTCTGTTAGGATGCAGCAGTAGTACTCAGTGTGCTGTTTGTACTAAAAAGGTTTTGTTAAAACATCAGTTGAGACCATATATGGATCTGTTGGTGCACTTACACGTTTCTTTTTTATGTACAAATACTTCCCTCCTTTAGTAATACTCTGCTTGGTTTTTACTGCGTTTGTACACTTGTGCTCCAACATACATTTAAATTTAAATGTGATATTTGATTTATTTGCCACAGTAACTGTTAAAGTTAGCTCTGTTTCTGGAACAGAAAAGTTTCCTGTGTTCGGGGTTAACAAGCTAAACCTGTTGTCGGGATCACGGCCCTCATGTGTAAAATATGATCTGTAGAAACAAACGTTACTTTCATTACATGGCTCAGTAAAATCCCATAATCAGTAATCATTGGTGTCTTATTGTTGTGATCACGGCCCTTTTGTCTTTAAATGAAAAATGTCAGATTGATGAAAATATGTTGGTGCTTTGTTGTCAAGCTAACTGTTCATACTTCTTTCCAAATGGGCCTTATCTTCAGAGCATGATGGGACTCATGTGTGTGTACATGAGGACTGGGAGAAGGCTGCCTTTTGTGTGTTGTTTTAAATGTGTGTTTTCAAGTTCAACAAAGAGGGAATATTTGATCATAGCTGACTGTTGCTGATATTAAAGTGTCGTAACTGAGGATCAGTGTGTGTCATAGACACTTTGTGTGTGTGTCATCATCAGACTTTACTGAAACTACCTGAATCAGTCTCAAAGTGTTACTGGTTTAGTTTCTCAGATATGGATTAAGAGGCACATTTCTGCTGCAGTCAAACGTAACACATGATTTCTGGTATTTTTACTGTATAATTCCACATATCGCTTCAGAAAACACATGTCAGTGTGACACTTTAATATTTTCATAGTCATATCAATAAGGTGCCTACACAGAGAAACACTATCTCGGTTGGCTGCTCCCTCTAAACATATCATACATTATTAGTACTGTATGCTGCTCAGTAACATTCAACATTTATTATTTACCATTTCCAGTTCTGTAATTTTTTTAGTTAAAATAAATAATAAAAAGTCTTAATAAAAATCGAATCAGCTATGACAGTTAAGTGGACAAAGTATAACAAAAGGTCCAGTTGGGGAAATAAATCTGTTTCTTGGCCTTTACACAGTAATTGCTACAGTGCTGAACAGGACAGGCAAAATACAAAAAACATATTAATAATTAATATTATGGAATTAATATTATTTTATAAAATCTTTTTTCACCCTTCGGGTCAGATTATGAGCAGTTAATAGAGACTGTAGTATATTTGTATTTCGTGTATCTAGTCTTACGTGTTATTTTAACGTTTGCCAGCAGGGGGCGGTAATACTCACCTACACTAAGCCTCAGAAACAGAAGAAGAAGAACGAACCCGGAAAATATTGCAAGATGGCGGAATCGGAGAACAGCAACAGTGTTAGACAGCCATTAAATGTGGACGCAGAACCTCTTAAATTATCAGAGTTGTTAGATCGTGGTTGGAAAATATTCGAGGAGGTCGACAGCACAAACGAGCCTCTCGGCTCAAACAGTATTCAGGTGAAGGTTAAGCGCGGTGTTCAAATGTTAGAGGAAGCCTCCCGGATGGTCGCTCAGCTCGACTTGTTTAGTCGCAACGAAGAGCTCGAGGAGATCGCCACGGCAGACCTGAAGTACCTGCTGCTGCCCGCTTTGTTAGGAGCTCTGACCATGAAGCAGACCACCCGGGACAAACGGCTGGAAATAGTCCAGACGGCCCGCGCTTACTTTATGGATTTTTTAAGGAGATGTGAAGAGTATAAGGTGTCACAGTTTAAACTGCCAGACTCCACGGGTGAAAAAGCACGGCCTGACGGAGGGTCAGAAGATGGAAACGCTACAGCTAATGTAAGTTAACTAAGAGCAAGTAAATAGCAAATGAGCTAACCCTCCGGCTGTGTTCATAAACACTACCCACTGAGCGTGGTCGTGGTCAGAACTGGTCAGCAGCAGATGGGTGGGTTTGTTTCTCACTAACATCCGTTCTTGTCATGTGCGTTTCCTCAGTGGGTTTTCGTGTAGAATTGAAAGTACACTCTGGGATAAGTAATTTATTATTAAGCATTTATTATTTTGTGCTGGGATTCTGTTCATCTGGACGTTTTCAGTGGGAGAAACGTTTCGTCATCACCCAGGTGACGTCTTCAGTCTCAGCTGACTGCAGGTTTCCAACCTGACATTTGCATAATGACTGAATCCAGCCCACCGGAGTGGGCTTAGAAAAAGTCCCGCTCAGTGTATCAGTTAGATCACATCATCCTAATTTTGAAATGCAAAAGCATTTTTAATCAAATAATTACAGCCTCGTTTATTCTAAGCACCACTGCAGCTGAATGTATATCAGCGATTAAGTTTCAGTGATTTTTATGCGTCATTACAGAAAAACTCCCACTGAACGTGTTTGTGAACAAATTATTATTATATATATAAAAAAATATCACTTGATTTTTCCACTTAGCACCAGCTGTTTTATTCAAAGTCAGATTTTTTTACCCTTTAAATGTCAGGAAGATGACAAACTGCCACCAACTTTTTAGGGGAAAAAAGTAGATGGTTGCAGTTTCTTCACCGTGTAATTGATGAAACCTCTTATTTTTTTCAACCATCATTGCAGATCAGTAACTATGATTTTTTTTAAATGTATTTTGTGCTTTGTTACTTCTTTTTAGGAATGCCAAAACCCCTCCCACTTGGTGTTTTAGTGGCTAAATATGGCCATTTATTGGTTGAGTTTACAAAATACCATAACAACGTGTATTTCAGTTTGTTTGTGTGCGTGCATGTTGGAGAGCAGCAGGATGTGCAAACACTGGTCCTCACAGACACACTTTCCACAGCCTGTAGGGGCACAGTTCGCACCTTTTTCTCATTTTGTTGGTGGGCTGTGGGTCACGCTCTGACGCAGACTAATGTATCCAGGGATCAGTGGCAGCAGCTGCTGCTGAGCACGGGGGGCAAGGTTGTCACCAGGATGCGCCCCGAATCCAGGAACATCCTTCACTGGTAGCTTTCAGAGGACTCCCAGTCCTGTGCCTGATCTCCACAGGACAAAGTGTGCTTCATGATTGTGCCAACCAAAGCCAGTTTTCTTCTGAGGAGTTCTCTCCTCTCTGGGTGGAGTTTGCATGTTCTCCCCTTGTTTGTGTGGGTTCTCTCCGGGTACTCCAGCTGAACACTGGGTCAGGTGGCCACTTTGAAGAGTCAGAGGTTTAGGATATATTTTGGTCTACAAACTGATTCCATGATTTCTTTTTTAACTCCAGGTGATTATTTGTACCATGGTTTAATTTCAGAGTGCAATGAGACATCAAACTGCATCATTCTCAATAGAAAACTGCAAAAATGTGGTGTTTTCAAACTTTTGACCTGTAGTGTATTTCAAAGTGTAAAGACTGTCTCCAGGTGGAAAACAGACGGAGCAGATTGTTCTGTAAATATATTTATATTTTCACACATTTTTGACCTTTACAGGTTCTATTTGCATTTCAAGCCACACTGAACATTATGGTGAGAGAGGAGAAATGTTTCTTTGTTTTTAGTTTTTCTACAAAATTGACATTAAAGAAAAGCTGTTGGAGTGAAATCCTCGAGCTGCTGTTCACTTCATGTTAGCGAGTTTTGAAGTAAACAACATTTGAATTGATTGGATGAGCCATAAACCGTCTTGTTGGTCTTTGATCTAAATCACTGGTACATCCCGAATCACCTGTGCCTTTGTTTCTGTATGAACTAACACAGCACATTGAATACATACAGCGTTCATATAACAACAGGTTCTTTTATTAACTGCACTGCTAATGAAGGCTGTAAGTCTGGGTTTATTTATGTCACATAAGTCAGTCACAGAAAAGTGTGTCC